TGTTGCCTCAGGACTTTGCAGAGATAGCTTGTCCTAGTGAAGTTACCTGAATGCCTTCAGCCAATCCTCTTCTGCAGTTTTCGCAGAGGAGCAAGATTCTGCCATGGTAATTTTGTTGGTTACAGCACTATAACAGACTATAAAGGTTATTGTTACTGAGTAAAATGGGGTCGGCGTGATCGAGACGGTAAAGCTCATGGTTTCTAAACCGAAAAGTCTCGAGTTCGAACCCTCTGGCAGATGAGGCTCGTTAGCTGGGGACAGCCACTCTTCTAGGAGAGACAACTCCAAAATCAAACAACTGCTGCCTTGTAGTTTGTTCTTGGTTGGACAAAGGCTATGGAAGCAAATCAGGCTGAAATCGGAGTCAATGGCTTCAATGGCGCACAACCAGTTGACACGTATCCTTAATTGTGATGTAGGCGTGGTCGAGTCGGCAAAAGGTCGGAAAAAGTCTCGAGTTCAAACCCTCTGGCAGATAAGGCTCGATCCCTCCCAACACTAAAAATTAAGAACGAAGAAGAAGAAGACTGAGTAAAATTATATATTTATTACTACTACTACTACTTGACTTGCCTATTACTATTTTATTCACTGTCTGCAATAGCATATTATACATTCCAAGGGAATATAATGACTAATCATTTGGAGCAAAGAAATAATATTTTGCATGTTTTGTACCAAGTAGTCTTCTTTTTTAATGAACTTTCTAAAAAGTAAAAACAATTAATCCAGACTGACGTTATTATGGCTTGAGAGAATAAACATTGCATGAAAACACAACAATAATGAAAGATGCAAGCATACTTACAGGATTCCGTTAATTGAATTTTCCTATTTTGTCAATGAAAACAAGTAGATGTGGTTCTGAACTCCGTTCCAGAAAGTTAAAACAGGAAGTGAACTCCAAGCAGGGTATACAATTAAAAATTATAATTTTCTTGATGAAGGAATGAAAAAAATATGTTCTTCAAGACAAAAACTTGGTGTGACTTTTCAACCCTGTGACTTTTCACCCCCTCCTACCCCTATTGATTTTACCATAAGCAACCAAACTTTAACACAATTTTTTTGGTGCAGAATAAGATTTTAAAAGTATTATTATCCGGGGGGGGGGGGGGGAGGGGGGGGGGGGGAGGGAAGAGGGGCATCTGCAAAAAAAAACAACAAAAAAACCCTTCTTTTAATTTTGCGAGGGCGGCGCCCTGAGAGGTGTGATTTTTCTCTATATACAGTATGTTATAAAAGAAAACTTGGATGCTGTTCATCTGAGTGCCTTGCTCTTTGGGGAGTTGATGAGAATACTCCAGAGAAGGTTTCTGCGGGGAAAAGGTACAAGTTCACACTGGTTGGCCTCTGGCAAGGTATTATTTGGCGCCCCGGGCTTTACCGCGAGCGCTATGGCGCCTATGTTTTTTTTTTAAATAGAGCGATAAACTATGGATAAAATGGGGCATCATAGTCGTTCACTAAAGTAAATCCTGTGAGCACCATTGAGCCTTAGTTAGTTTTAAGCAGCCAGGAGCCGTACGCGGTACCCCTGCGTTACTATAATCGGGGGCTCCCGAGAGCGCCTCTCTACGTCCCTGACACCTGGGCTGTCACCGAAGAGTGTTCTATCGCACTATTACAGTGAGTGATTCGGTAACACTCAAGTTAAACCCCCTGTATGCCAATGTCATTGAAGCCGATGACTACATCAGAAACGTGCTTCTTAGATAAGTACAGGTTAAATTCAGGTTAAATAAAACTAAAGAGTTAAGATATTTAAAAAGTAAAATGTATTGACTTATTTCTTTTCTTGTGCAATCTTATATGCTCAATGCAGACAGCATGGAATTAAACACATAATTAGAGTTATTTAAAAATGTAACTTATCGTATATATTTTTAAGTGCTAATGAACATAAAGTGCTAAAACATTTCATTCCCTTTCCTCAACATTGCATATTTTACTTGTAAATTATTCCCAATGCATACAGTACATACACTCAATGATAATGGGTGTTGCTGAATTATATCAGATTACTAATTTTAAAATTATTCAGGATGTTTAGACCAAAGATGACGAGGGTGTCCAAATATTAACTTTTCTGTTAGTCATAAATAGGTAATAACTAAATCAAGCACACATTCCCAGCTGTTCTTAACTTTTGTAACCCTAACCCAAACTTAATATAAAATAACACTTCAATAATTCAAAGTTACACAAATAAATAACTTATACTATACAAAATTAATAAATTGACAATGTTATTCTTTTTCTTAATGTAGATAGTAAAATCAATGTTACGAACTTACTAAAAGATGGTTTAGCCATGATGGAATAATGTCGTCCAAAGCTTTTGGATACACTAGCTCTCTATCAATGGAATACAATCCCCAGAATAGTAAAACAACAAACTGAAAGAACAAGGGAATTTTTGTTGTAATTCAATAATTAATGCTTTATTACTTGTATTTTCAAAGAATATTCTGGCTAATTATTTTATTTGCTCAATTTAAATATCGACTTTAATAAAAACGTAAACAAAATGAAAATGGAGCAAAATGTGTTTTTTTTTTCAAGAGGAGATCCTATCTGTCCTTTATTATGTAAAACTAGGCATGCTGCCCAGCTTCGCTTAGGCTTTCGAAAACATTGAGAATTTGAATGCTTAATTAATTCGCCCATATAAGGCGCCGGTCAGTCGAGGTCAGTTTTGACCCCCTCATCGTAGACTTTTCGGCCAACCGGCCCCCGTGTTCTGTCGCCCCAAGGCAAGATCCTGCCAAATTTGAAGCGCCTGCGGCGCCGGGAATATCTAGATCTAGATCAATATCTAGAATCTCTAGATCTAGAATCCAAATAGATAAAATAATTTTTTTAAGTTTAGGCCGAGAAGAGTCGTATTGTATAGGCTACATTTCATAGCGTACATAGCTGTAAATCATATTTGAATGAAATAGTTCATTTCTTTTTATTCTAAACTCGGAAGATGACGTCATCAGTTTCGTGCTCTTGTTTTAGTGTTTTAGTGTAAACAATAAGCGACGTCATTGTTAAATGCGTTCTTGTCCCAAGTTTATACACTTTTCCGGTTGCATAAATAATACTGTTTCTCTACATTCGAATACGCCTTTATTTTTTATTTTTCTTCTTTAAATAAAATTGTGGTTATACATTTAAAACATCTAGCATATTATTTTCAACAAAAGTCCGAATAAAGGTATCCATATATCGCTGCCGATTCTGACGTGATGTCCGGCGAAAATATTTTGCGGACAGAGAGAGAGAGAGAGAGAGAGAGAGAGAGAGAGAGAGAGAGAGAGAGAGAGAGAGAGAGAGAGAGAGAGAGAGGTGCGAACGTGGGGTTTTATATATTAGGATTAACTAAAACCAAAGTATTAATTATGATGTAGGCCTATTTGGTTTTTAAAAAAAAGTAAAACAAATTATCTTATATTTAATTTTTTAACATCAGTCCATTATGAAATAGGGCTATTTCATAAAGTTTTGAATATAGAGATGGGAAAAAGTGAGCGCAAATTAATATTTACTTATGAACATTGATTGTTAAAAAGTAAATTAAACTTCAAATAAAGTCAGATGTGATGTCACTGTACATTTTCATTGAGTCTTCACCTGTATGAAACAATTCTGAGAAATTGGAAATACACAAAAGTACAGCTTTAGGTGACTAAGCACTATAATTTTAATAGAATAAGAGAATATGACAAAAGTATGAAATTTCGCACGGGCGGGCCCCGGTAGGGTGTGATTTGGAACCCGGGATTCCCGTGAGCGCCATGGCGCCTACGTTTTAAACGGTGCGAAAGAAAAAAATTTAAAAAAAAAAAACGTTTTAATAACAAGCTTTTATGTAATGATGCACTAAAAAGTAGAAAATAAATTATACACTACTATTTAAATTACTATAAAGAAAAGCGTGGGTCACTTTAGTACTTTAGTACCTATTGGATACCTTTACTAATATTTGAGAAGAGACCCACGCTTTTCTTTATAGTAATTTAAATAGTAGTGTATAATTTATTTTCTACTTTTTAGTGCATCATTACATAAAAGCTTGTTATTAAAACGTTTTTTTTTTTGAATTTTTTTTTCAGTACTTTACATGTTTTATTTACAATAGTGTTACATGACTAAAAACCATTACACGTCTATTGAACGTGATGGCGCAGCTATTAAACCTGATGGCGCAGCTATTGAACGTGATGACGCGTGTGGTGTGGTTGGATAGACATGCCTACTAATTCTGTCCAAATTTTAATTAATTCATAAAAAATTAATTAGGCATCCAATTAAGTCAAATTTAATTTCAGATTGCATTGTCTTCATGTCTTGAACCCACGTGTCAAATGTGAATCGTATCGGTCAAGTAGAAGTGTCCCGAATTTTCACTCCTGCGTTTCGATCTAGACAGACAGAGGATGAAATGGGGCATCATCGACGTTCACTAAATTGAATTAAGTACATCGCCCCGGTGCCTCGACAAGGTGCTATTTGGCGACCTGGGCTATGCTCAGGGCCGGCGCTACCTATAAGGCGAACTAGGAGGTCGCCTAGGGCGCTGTCCGGAGGGGGGCGCCAAAATGGTTGAAAAAAAACAAATAGAAAGTTTGAGGGGGGGGGGGGAAATGCAAATCGAAAGTTTGTCCCTGGGCGCCGGGAAGGGTTGCAAACGCATCTGATAATACGGGGGTCACGAAAAAAATTGAGGGGGGGGGGCGCTTTTAATAAGTTTTGGCTAGGGCGCTAAATAACCTGGGGCCGGCACTGGCTATGCTGAGAGCACCATGGCGCCTTCATTAGTTTTAAAGAGCCAGGGGCCTTACACAGCGCCCCTGCGGTAATGTAATTGGGGGCACCCGAGAGCGCCCCTCTACGTCACCGAAGTGTTTTACCTCCACTTTAACGGTGAGTAATTAACGTACACTCAAAGCTTTTATGCGGTAGTGTGGTTAACCCGTTCCCTTATAAATATGATCAAAGCGCAGGCATTGGTTACATTAAAATTACCCAGACTTAGAAAACAAGACCATACATATATTATAGGATTGGTAATGCGTTGATGAAAACCTCTAAAATATTTAGTCAGACATTCTTCTAGTACCCGCGACAACGCACAGGCACGAGTACGTTAGTTATTTAATGTAACCAGTGGCGTAGCGAGGTCGGGTGTCACCCCCCTCAGAGGCCGTAACGACTCTTCCCAGGGACAAACTTCAGTTTGCACCCCCCCCCCCTGAAATTTTTCTCTATATATTTTACTATTTTTTTTGCCTTGGTGTCACCCCCCCCCTACATGGTGTCACCCGGTGCGGTCCGCACCCTTCGCCTTCCCCCCCCCCCCTCGCTACGCCTCTGAATGTAACTAATATAAATAATTGATATTACCGTTCCGACTGGGAAAGCAATAGTTGAGTGAATGTGTCTCGCCAGTTTCGTAGACATTTGTGCTGCAAAGCCGCAAGTTCAGCTAAATCACTGACTACACAGAAGCCAAAGTACAGGGTTTGGAGACACTAAAAAAATGCAGTTGCTTTAGAATGAATTTTAAAATATTCACGTTTATATAAAAATGTAAGATTTTTTCAAAAATATTACTCACAATATATTGGGGAAAGGGGGAGAAGTTAAAATTATGCAGGTAACAAAGCTGCATTTTGTCTAAAGTAAATTGTGCGAATACTCTTATCCCACCATGTGACCAGACACGTGTGGCATCCTAACCGCCAGTGACAAAATGGCCCCCGCCCAAAAGAGTCACCGACAAATGAACCCCGTCAAAAGAGTCATCGACAAATGAACCCGTCATATAGGCTCCCTACAAATAAGCTGGGATCAATAAGGCTCTCTATATATAGGCTCCCGTCATGAAGGGCCTGTTCAAAATAGGTTCATGTCCTTTCAACTCCCTTCATTTAGACTCCCGACGCAACTACCCCTGTCATTTTAGCTCAAGACAAAACGGCTTCAGGCTCCAGATAAAAAGCACCATGTTAATACGGTATCCGTAGAGACTAAATCTCCGGGCAGAGCCCCCCCCCCCCCCCCCAAAAGAAGAAACTCACTCTTCGGTGGGAAAGGAAAGGGGGGGGGGGGCAAATAGTCGGGAGCCTATACGTCGCTAGTCAATAAGACGAGAGCAAACAATGTAGGGGCCCTTTTGTCCTGGCTCTTTATCTCAAGGGCCGTTTTCATCCTGAAATCGTGGCCCAACTGGCGCCATCATAATTTTTTTTAAAATTGTAAACTCAGTCCTTGTCCTCCTTTTTTAGAAAGCTGTATTTTATTTTTAGCTAAAACCTGAATACTCCTCTTTTTTTGTGTGTCAAAAAGTCAATTCCTTTTTTATCCAACTACAATAATTTTCGTTTGAGTATCATTATTGCTACTACAAAGTAGTGATAACTGCCAATATCATTATCAGCTACTCTCTACACAATCTTTTCCATTATTGTAGATTAATACTTGATTGATATTGTTTTCTATTTTCACATTTGGTGGTTTCCATGTGTTTTAATTAATGCGCATGTGTTTAAACAATGTACCTCCTAGTGTAAGTTTGTTTTCTTGGCAAAGACAAATAAGCTGTATAAATTACCGAAAATACTAAATCGTCAAATATATCAGCGATTTCCGGTAACCGGATGAGGGACTTTATTCTACTTTTGGTTTTCTACCAACTAAAAAAATGTTTGGGGTTCTGGAGAATAAAAATCCGGATCTTCAACACACTAGTAAAACCTGTTTTACTCTATGGAGCTGAGACATGGAGAATAACTGCTTTAAATAAGAAGAAAATACAATCATTTATAAACGCATGCCTTAGAAAGATCCTGCGAATTCGCTGGCCTAAAACCATCAGAAATGATGTTATTTGGCAACGGACGAATCAACTGCCCAGTTGAAGTAGAAATCCTCCAGAGAAATGGAAATGGATCGGCCACACATTTGGGAATCCTGTATCCAGCATAACAAGACAGGCCCGCACCTGGAATCCACAAGGCAGGAGGAGGAGAGGCAGACCAAGAAAGACCTGGAGACGTGAACGGGAAGAAGACACCAAGAAGATTGGATACACCTGGGGACAATTAGAGAATAACCCAGCAGAGGACGTCTGGCAAGCTCTTGTCAGCGGCCTATATCCCAGTAGGGACGACAGGCAAACCTAACCTAACACTTGAGTGCTCTTTCAGATTGATAGACGAAATTTCACATGTAAGTAAAATATTTAATTATCTGCCTTCCATCAAATTTTAAGTAATTTCTGTTGACCGGAAGTAATACTTTTCGCTATTTCTGATTTCTCAAAAAAAACCCACCGCATTTAGGTAATTTATTTCCCCCGCAGATTGGTAAACGTGAGAAGCGGACAATAATGTTTAGAATAGAAAAT